AATTAAATTAATTTAATTAATTAATTTATTATTCTTGGGTAATTAAAAGGCCTCTGCAGAGCTTCTAATTAATTAATTAATTGATCCCAAAGTCGTCATTAATTGACCGTGGGGAACATGGAGATTAATTAATTCAGTGCATTAATTAATTAAAGAAACCGGGATTAAGCTAATGAGGGGTAAATAATTAACCCAGGGTTGTGATTAATTAATTTAATTGATGGTAATTAATGGAGGTGGGAAAGGGGATGATTAAATTTATCAAGGCAATTATTTAATTAACTAATTAAATTGATTTAATTAACTGTAAATAATTAATTTGCCCCCCTGAGGTGATTAATCCTGCGGAGGCGCCGCCGTTAATTAATTAAATAATTGGTTGGACACCTGCAGTCGATCCCCGGGGACATCTGGGGCAATTAATTAATTAATTAACGGGACACCTGCAGTCACGGTTCAGTAATTAACTTCAGAGCCGCAATTAATCCCCTTTGCACACTTCGGTTAATTAATTAATGGATTAATTGGGGGAGATCACCATTAATTAATTGATTAATTGGACACCTGTGATCAGTCCTGATTGGTTTATTCATTAATTAATTGGACCCCTGTCATTAATCCTCAGATTAATTATTGTCATTAACCCAAATTAATTAATTAGACCCATGTGATTATTCCCCATTGGTTAATTAATTAATTGGATGCCTGTGATTAATCCAGATTACTTAATTAATTAATTAATTAACCCCTTGTGATTAATCCCAATTAATTAATTAGTTGATTAATCCTGATTAATTAATTATTTGGGCCCCCATCATCAGCCCAGATTGATTAATTGATTATTTAATCCGTTGCCAATGGATTAATTAATTGGACTCCTGTGATTAATCTCCATTAATTAATCAATTCATTGCCCCCCAGATTAGTTAATTGTCCCCATTGATCAATTAATTAATAGGACCCCTGTGCTAAATCCCAATTAATTAATTGCCCTCCTGTGATTAACCCACAGCAATTAATTAGCTAATTGGCCCCGTTTGATTAATCCCCACTGATTGATTGACCCCTGTGATTAATTCCAGCGGCTCAATCAATTAATTAATTAGCAGGCCTCTTGTGTTTACCCCTGATT